AACTTAAATTAATTATCACAGCTCACAACCAAAGAGACTAGATAGGCGTAGGTATACAGAAAATATAAGGAACACCGAGAAAACGAGGAAGAAAAAAAACTAGATAAACAATATAACGAAATATTCCTATCAGCCACAGTTGAGAAACTTGTGTTTAGTTAATCAGGGTTTCTGACTTTTTTGTAAATATTAAGAATGTTATTGTATATTCCGCTTAGCCTATCTGTGGTGTAAGTTTTAATGTTAACAGTGTCATTCAAACTTATGTGGATCATCTCCCTTACTTTTCTCCTATATCGGGTGTCCCACCGAAAACTGTCAATGGCCTATATCTTGAAAACTGTAATCAATTTTAAAAAAATGAAAAACCCGTTTGGAGAGTTGGAAGGGGGAACCAGAACAAGGTACGTTTCAGGTCTCCCTGAATCACCCCTCCGGCCGTAGTTACCCTAACCTCAAAATTTTAAATGGCACTATGGGTCATGTGATACCTTGTTTTAAAGGTCTTTTAATTCTCTTAATGGATCTGCAAAAAAAAAATATCGAGATTTGAATGTGACTCTCATTTTGATGAAAACCTCATTTAATCGGGTGGAACAGGTTAATGTGATTTAAAATTGATTTTATACAAACTGAATAACAGCATGAATATTTTTGAAGAAATCATCAAGATTTTATTTTTTTTGAACCCCTTTCCCGTCACTGTACCTGACAGTGTTCACCTCCTCAAGAGAGCAAAGTTATTAACTCGAAGCATGCACCATTTTGTGACAATTTAAATTTGTATCTAGATAATTTTTCTTTGCAGATTTGTTTAGAGAATTGGAAAACCTTTGAAACAAGGTATCACATGACCCATAGTGCCATTTAAGATTTTGAGGTTAGGGTAGCTACGGCCGAAGGGATGATTCAGGGAGATCTGAAAAGTACCTTGTTTTGGTTCCCCCTTCCAACCGTCCAAACACGTTTTTCTTTTTTTTTTTATCGATTACCGTTTTCAAGATATAGGCCATTGACAGTTTTCGGTGGGACACCCGGTATATTGTCACAACTGCCCGTTTTACGGGGGTGACATGGGGGGTTTGTAGCTTTGGGGGTTGATGGAGAGAAACTCGCTCAGGTTATATAAAAATATAGATATATATTTTCCCAAATATGCCCTTACATGTACGCTAATCCTATAAGATGCATGACCCTTCGAACACTGGGGTCCTTATAGGGAGCCACACAATGACATCAAAACACAGATAGACGGAACAATAAACAAAATTTTCATATGACAATATCTCTCTGTCTCTTTTGGGTCTTTGTGCTATCCCCACCACTGATAATGCCAAATTTTGTCTTGAATCCCTAAATAATATATTTTCCTCCTTTTCTAATTAACGTTTTCAATTTTATTTCTGAACTCAATTTGGCAACAGCAGATTGTAGCAAAACACCGCCCAAAAGCGGCTTGTTGAATGGCAGGCAGGTGGTGGTTGGAGTAGCTAGCTATCTTTATCGCACACAGTGATTATTCATTAGCGTTAAACAAGAAACGACCAATACGATATTGGTACTCCCAGAATAAGGGGCTCGTATCGAATATTTTTAGTTTATTTGTCAATTTGTCATTTTATTTGTTCATCCAATTAAATTTTAAGATATATTCACGTGTGGGCGGGGTTTTTTACACCATTTTGAGCAATGATGTTTCCCCACCCCGACCCTGCGAGCAACTCACCTCCCCTGGCCCATGGGTGGTCTTGTCAACACAACAAATATCAGTTTATGAATGGGATGATCCGTCTATCTGTGTTTTGATGTCATTGGAGCCACACGTCAACGCTGCTTGGGGGACTGTAGATTAGTTATCGTCACCCTTATGCCTTGTCCAGAGGGGCTTTCCCAACGAGAGGTGTTTGCACTGGACAACGATAAGGCTGAAGATACCCAGAGGGGCTTTCCCAACGAGAGGTACTTGCACTGGGGAGACTTTAATGCTGAATTGCAATAAACATCCGATCGAATCGGAAATTAAATTAATAAGGTTGAATACCGGGTCCTCCTTTTTTAAGCAGCTAGTTTACAATATCTGTGGTTCTAAGTCTAATATCTGCACATCATTAAACTTGAATCGGTGACCTGTTTGGAAATGATGTTCCGACAATGCAGTTTTGTCTTCGTACAGCATTCTGTCATTGCGACAATCATATTTATGTTGCTTCATTCTTTTGTCCAAATATTGCATTGTTTCTCCAATGTAGCACTTCTGACATTCACATTGTACTTTATACACAATTGAGCTTCTTTTTTCTTGTAGAGTTTCATCTTTTAGCGGTGTAATCAAAAAGTTTGTTGTTCGTATATTGTAAAAGGCTAATTGAACTTCTGTTCTATTAAAGCATCTTCCTATTTCTTGGGAAAGGCCGTCAATGTAGGGAAACTTGAAGTATTTGCACAAATGGTTCTTTGTGTGATTAGGTTTGGCTGTGAACCTACTTATGTTTCTATTGATGAAACTTAATTGGTAATTGTTATTCACTAATAGTTTCTTTATATCCATGTTGTCTGTGTGGAAATCTGGATGACTCAAATTAACGGCTCTATGCAACAATTCTTGTATGATTGCTATTTTGTTTGACAATGGATGGTTTGATAGGTAATTCAAAAGCCGGCCCGAGCTGGTAGGCTTAAATACCAATTCGTTATGAGAGTTCCATCTGGTTGGTGGTGAATTTCCATGTCCAGAAAGCTACTTTTCTTATCCCTTTCTATCTCCATAGTAAATTGGAGTGATGGGTGACAGCCATTAAAAGTGTTAAGCAGTGTTTTTAGCTGGTCATGAGGAGCGGACAAGACTCTGTCATCAACATATACGTATATAAAAGGAATGTCAAAGTTTAGTCTTTTCAAAACTTCAGTAATAAGATGGTTTATGACTAAGTTGGCCAGTATTAGTGATGCGGGGTTCCCCATGGCTGACCCATCTTTTTGTAGGTATATAATACCTTGGTAAGAAAAAAAGCTCGTATCGAAACAGTAGCTAACCAAGTCAATAATGTTTTTTTTTAGGAATCTCTATATAATTTGATATGAATCCAAATTTTTTTGTGATGATATCCAAAACCAATTTCTCTGGCAAGTTTGTTAAAAGTCTGACAACATCTAGCGATATCAAAACATGTCCGACCATCTTAGGGTAGGGGATGCATGATAAGGCCGACAATTTAGACTCTATGTAGTATGAATGGGAAGGAGTAGAGTCCATGTAAATGATGTACAATAAGCCACAATGAGCTTCAGTGCAGGCGTGATGTGACGACTTTGGATTTTTTCTCTCTTTTATATTCAGTGCAGACCATGGGCTCGAAAGGGTGAAAAAAAAAATGGATGGGAAGAAAGCGATGAAAAGTATATCTTCGAATGGTTTGTGAGAGATCAATCACCGCCAACCAACATAAGCCCTCCTGGTATGAACACATTATTATTCCTCATTTTCGGCAAATAACATTGACTTACAGGATTTCCTTAATTCATTTATATTTTCACAGGCGACCATGAAACTGAGGAAGATGGAGTCTGCATCGGTACCTAACTCCGATGTTGACGGTGAAACAAGTAATGAAGATGAAGATTAACAAAAATATTTGTTCTATTATGTATTTCACCACGTACGTTAATTATCTTGATAATAAATAAGTTCGAATATCGATATAATGAATCCACATTATTGTGAAACCTGTTATATTTTTTCCACCTTTACTTGTACCGGGCTATTTACTATATTTTGATACCTACGTATCTTTGGTAAATTGATGAAAGAATCTTATAGTGTTGAAAAATAATAATGAAAAAATATTCGTTAGCTGTAGCTGATTGTCTGTTGGGGGAAATGTCATCAGTCGGACCATTGAAAATACCGCGGGTCGCCCAGATATATAAACGCAATGATACATTCTTGCTCCGGCTGACGGTCTTTCCACCGCTAGAAACGTAGCTGATTATCATTATTATATATTTCCATATATGTATATCAAAAATCATGTAAAAAAAATTCAATAGGCATAAAATAATTTCACTTCTTCATTTTTCTTACAAGAAGTTCCCCCTTTCGACTGACGTATTTTCCCCCCTCTGCAGCACAGCTGATTATTTTTTTTGTATCCAAATAAATGGCAATAATACCCAAAAAAAATTTCACCTGGTATAATATGGTTTTGTGAAAAAAAAAAATTCTACAGGCTTCGTAGCCTCCCACGCTCGCATCCACCGCAAGTGCGCCAACCTTCACTTTCGTTGTCAATGAAACCTTTACCAGTATAGTCAAGAATCTACCAGCATAAAAACGGTGTCAAAAATGGACCCCTGGCTCCCGGGCTATTAAACTTTAGTTTTACCTTCATATTAAATTTTTCCTGTCGTTAAAATAAGTGGCCTAATTCACCTACAACGCATGATAATTCCATATAATATAGGTTGTATTATTATATTAGATCATAAAATAGAATCCTTAAATATTTTATTAAATTCTTGGAGGCGCCTGTCTCGATGGAATAATTTACCAAAAACGAAACATTTCCACTGCTAAATAAAATAAATGACAAGATTATTATCGAATAACAATAAAATATTCAACGATTTACTGGATGTGAGTATGAATCAATAAAGTGGAAAGTTTGATGGTATTATCTTGAGAATGTTTTTCATTTTGCCTGGTTTTCACACAGAAAAATATCAGTTGCTGTAAGCATAACAATTTTATAGCTATTTATTTTTAGCAGTTTCTTGAAAAATACAAGAAATTTATGAAATTTTCTTCTCAAGAAATGAAGTCAAACCGGATAAGCTCTTCTCCATATCAGGTCCTAATTGAAACAAAAAAATGAACTGTTTTAGCTTAAGCAAACTTTTTCCACTTAATTTAAAAAGATAAAACCTGAGTGTCTGGAGGAACATTAAAACTTTTTTAGGCATCTACCCTCTTTGTTGAAATGTTTACATTTATTTCTGTTTAGTAAAACCAACATTTATGCAACTATCTGGAGTAACCAATCACGTAGTACAAGGAAGCAACGTAATGCTTATCTGTGACGTGCTTGGAGCTAGACCGGCGGCTACGATTAGATGGTCCAATGGATCTGTAGCGATTACCGACGAAAATCTTGTCCACACCAGTCCAGAGGATAATGTAAGTGCCTAGATTTAGACTAATTTCCTCAAATATACGTGACAAGAAAACGTTTTATTATAAGTAATCTGGGGGAGCAAACTATCTGTCTTTAGGATGGCCGAGGGAGCAAGTCGTAAACGTCCAGTTGCCTGAAAAGGCTAGCCAGCGGGCAGGTCGTTACGACAAAAGTTATATGCGTTCACGTACTCCATTTTGCGACACTTTTATTCGGGTTTTTACGGCTGCGAATATGCTTGTGTGCGATGACAGCAATTTTGCAAATAAACATAATGGGTGGTTTCTGCTTTCTGAGTTCAAACGAATAAAATAGATAAGGAAGCTTGTAAATTTCAAAATGTAATCTCAAAAGACAACCCTTAAATCTTCTAAATCCTGCTGGGTGGCGCAAAAAGTCGCCCTAATTTCTCTTCACACGAAACTTTCATTGATACATAAACAGATAGCTGTTAACAGATAAAGGAGGGAACGGTCGCCATTTTTCTTGGGCCTTATCAGGGCCGTAATAAAACTCGTCGTCGCGGAACAACCGCCCCGGCGCTGAAATTAATTAAAGCGAAAAAGCGCCGATATCTGGCAGTTTAAATTGCAACAAGAGCAATCCGAAAAAGTGCTGTGTCACCCGTGCTGCTACTGCTGAAAAATCCGACAGTCGTTTATTAGATGTTGGTTCTCCTATAAAATGAAACAATTCCGAATCTTGACATACAAAATTAATCATATTAAATTTTTGTATTTGCTCAGTAACAATAATTATACGCGCTCATGTAATTTTTTTGAACAAGGGCAATACGAACTAGTTCCCAAAACATCAAACTAATGTGCGTCCCTTATGTTTCGCCCCCAATATGTACTCAATAGAGGAACAATATCATAGCCAAATAATGTAAATATACCTCCGGAGGCTAAAACGGGGGCCCCAAATATCATTCACATAAATTTCGAAACAATACACGACGGAGACCCTTTAGAGGCCCTTTGCGAAATTAAAATAGAGCATACAGATAGTCTATCTATATTTGAGAGTTGGGTGTAACGACAGGCAATTAAGTAGATAGAGAGGAATGGATAGTATTCAATTAGAAGTTTTCAACTAATAATAAATAATATGTGAAATAAAGTAATTTAAAATATATAACAGAATATGCTTTGTTTCTCGAAAATCTTGGAAATTATTTATACAGTTTTCTCTTACTCGATCTCAATATATCAGATACATCAAACATTGCCGTCAATAAAATTGGAAAAACTTTTTTAAGAGCCTAATATAAAAGTTGTTCTTATATTATTCGATATATTTTTTGCCACTGTTTACCAACTTTTTATATTAATAAAGTATTTATTATATTTCCAGTCACGCTTAACGACAGAGGTTAAGTATAACGAAGTAAGTTTAAATACCCCTTTTTTCCTTGCATGTATATTAAGCCCGTGCATGGATCATTCCAATTTTAACATTGTACGTGCATTTTACTAAACTTTCCAATATTTCTATTTTTTTTTATTGATGTATTACTTCATCATTGTTTTATGCCTAATATTACATATATATTATATACTCCTGGACAAAATTATCGCACCACTGCTTATGGAGTTTATGTGCAGTGGTGGTGCGATAATTTTGTCCAGGAGTATATATTATTAGATACACGTATATTTTTTTTATAGTATGTATAATTAATTTTTTAAAAAATTGCTAATATAAAGTTCATTCAACCTCCTTCTTTATTTGCTGAAACATGTTTTAACGAAAAATGTTACTTTCACATGAAATCCTCTTAACTTTCAATTACTTATACAGAAACTGAAGTAATTTACCTTATGCGAACGTAAAAAAATACTGCGTGCTCTCTTTTTCATGAACTGAAGTGGCTTTCGACATGTTAAGTACCTACCTAGAGCTTTTGATCTGGAACTTCAAGACTTATACACACCATAGTGGGTTTTTTGAATTTTTCACGAGGGCCAAGTCATAATTTGCTTGCAGAATTATTAATAATAAACTTGGTTGAGTGTAAACGACATTTTAGTTGTGCAGAATTTCCCGTAAATACATATAATGCAGCTTGAACTCATAAATTCTATGCACAAGGGTACTTGTTATATTACGTACATATCAACAATGCCAGTCGGAACAAAATAGGCTTTATTTAGTCAGCATTTATTGTCAAATGTAGTCGTTATTTGGAAACTATATTTGAAAATTTTGGAGTGCCTACTTCCACAATTGTAAAAATGATTGAACCAATATCATCGAATGATTTTTAATCGGGGGAGTGATCACAAATAGATGTTTGCAAATAGAAGATTGAAATTAAGAGACTAATGTACAAGTTCATTGATTAACTAGATGGTGTCTACAGGAGGGCTTAAGCCTCAACTCCGAGGGGTCGACCACCACTATGCTTGCAAATGTACAATGATTTGCATTTTTTGCAATCACTGATCAATAAATCTCATGTATTCCTATCCTAAGAATTGCGACTGATTACGAATGATTTTCAGATATTTTTGTATAATTATCAGGTGACTTCCATTTTTTCAGGGGATTCCTATATCATTCCCAATTGATTACCTGATTTCCTCGATGTTTTCCTACAATCATCCGATTTCCAGCTGATTTCATTACGAAAACGATGTCTAATTATTCAGCTTCGCATCGATGTGACCAAAATAAGCAGTCTTTTCTCTTATAAAAACACGTTTCAACTGAAAAATTGGCAACTTCTCTATTTGCAACTCTTCCAAAAGTTGGTAACTTTTATTCTCATGGCTGTCCACACCCACGCCGATTTTGTTATAGGTATAAATAGTTGTTAAGCCCTAGATACCATTGCGTGTTTACATTGCATAATATGGATCTATAATAAAAGATATTTCTTTGATTTCACTAGGATGTTTATCTGAATCAGAGACATCTTCAGTTAGGGTTTCAGTTGACAAACTTTTTTTCTGATTTTGATTCAGATGTGCTGTCGTCTCTGCTTCTAGCCTTGCCTAGTATTTATTCTACTTTTTCTTTCCAAGTTGTTATTGCCTTGGATTCCCTGCTTCTCTGAAAAATAACAAATTGAAGTTGAGCCCTGAATAATCTTCAAGATTCATATTTTCATTTTTATGATCTACAACATACTACTTACATACTGTCATACTTTAGGTATGTTCTCACAGAAATCACAAATCAGTCAGAGCGAATTTCATTGGTTGAAAATAGTCAGAATTCTGGTTGTTGCCGATTTGCACCAATCAAAAACACTGACTGGCTTGTGATTTCTGTGAGAACAGATCTAATCTTCATCTCGTTCTTCTTCTTCTTCAAGTTCTAAGCTCTTCGAAGTCTCGGGTTTAATTATTGGTTCAGTTATTGGGTAACTCGTTAGAACTTCAAATTCATTTCAAATTGTCTATAGCACTCAATGTTGCCTAAAACTTAGTCTTAATAAAGGCAAATACACCACTGACCGGTACGCTGTATCGTTTAAAATGTATGATATGCGATTTTTGGGTTAGAATCAGCGATTACCACATGATTCTCAGCGATTGCCAATGGATTCCTATGTGATTCCCATGGAGTCCTAGGAAATTCCTAGCGATTCCCAGGTTATTCGCAGGGACTCCCAAGTGATTTCCATTTATTCCTGATTGACTACTATGTGATTCCCAAAAAAATGTACAATGATTTATACTAGTGGTTTACCCCTTGGTCAACTCTAACAAAACTATAATTGTACATAGCTTTTACAAAGAATAGAAGGCTGAATCTAACAGCCCCAACTTTAAATGGGGTAGAACCAACATCTTGAAAGAGTAACCGACTAGGCAATAGCCACATACCGGAGATTATTCAGCAAGACTTGGGATCTAAAGCCAAAACCGGCGATCTATTAGTTATTTACAATGGTTGTAAGACCCATGGTAACTTACGCTGCAATAATATGGTGGCCAAAAGAAAAAAACAGACAGCGCAAAACTGATCGGCACCTTTACAAAAGTATGTCTTGGAATTACAGGAGCAATAAATATCTGTCCAATAGCCGCAATGGAGGTCATATTGAGCCTTCCCCCACTAGATATAATAGTGAGGAAAGAGGTCTACATGAGAGCCTCGGGAATAATGCAGAAGGAGACTTTGTCGGCCACAAACGCATTGTCCATTTAACCAAGCAGCCATCAACCAAATTCCTAGAGGTCCAACAATAGCGATCCACAGGTTAACCAAGCTGAGCCGCTATTAGACACGGTCCCAGAGGTCCCACCAACAGTGGTTCCAGAGGTTCAACCACACCAAGCAGCCATCAACCAGAGTCCCAGAGGTCCCACCAACAGCGGTCCCAGAGGTCCAACCAAACCGAGCAGCCATCAACCAGATTCCTAGAGGTCTTACCAGTAGCGATCCGCAGGTCAAACCAAGCAGCTATCAACCGACTCCCAGAGGTCCCATCAACAGGGGTCCCAGAGGCTCAACCAAGCCCAACAGCGGTCCATCATATTCCCAGAGGTCCCACCAATAGAGATCCCACTAATAGGGGTTCCAGAAGTACAACTACGCCCATTGCAAAATCAAAAGAACAATGGCGGAAGAAATGAACTTACGTGTTGCTCAGCAACACGCAGCTTCCAACCAACTATAAGAAAGATGGCCACTCAAGAAAAACTGAACAGTATGCAGAACAAAAACTTGGATCACTAGAAGATCTATGCAGCTCAAGAAAATGATCATGAACTAAACAAGTTCAATGAACCAAACCACGCTTACTTTACTAAAAAATGCCTGCAACAAATAAAGGAGAGGTATGAGACTTACAAGAAGTACCTTGAAACGATCAATGATGAATTACAAAATAGTCCACAACTCTTACTCTTGAAGAAACAAAATCTTAAGTGTGAGGAATTGGATAGAAGAATCGACCAAATCAACCAAGATCTAACTGAATCAAAATCAAGAATAAGGTATGAATTACAACAGAAAAAACTGATAAAACAATGGGAAGCTATTCAAGAATTGCACAAAGAGATAATAATTCATGAAAAATCATTCACCAGTGCCTACTTCAGAGATGATAAGTTTTATGAGTATCAGAGAAGTATGAAGACATGTTGGAAAAATTATCAATGGAAACAATCGAGGCACAAGCTTCCTGTAAGACATCTTGCATCACCACAAATAACCAACCCAACATTTCACAGAAACTACGAGAACTGGGGCTCTTTTCATGATGTTTTTTTGCGAGTAGTCAGCAGAGAAGATACAACCACTCAAAACACATGTTCGAGGAGATACTGCAAGACTCATTCAGCATCTGACAACCACTGAAAACAACTACGAGACAGAAGATGTAGACCAGAGCCTTAATCTTCCACGTCAGAAAATCAGAACAGAAATTTCAGGCATAGAAGAATGAATAGAATAGAATAGAATAGAATAGAATAGTAGCTTTATTTCAAATTAAGTTTTTACAATACATATTACAGCATTACAAAATAACATGAAATGAAATGGCGTCACAAAACAATATACTTAAATTACATATCCAAGTAATCTTTCACACAATATGGTTCTATGTCTATTAACAATTTCTTGGTTTTATTTTTAAATTCCTTGTAGTTTTCTATTATTTTAAAGTCGTTTGGTAATTTATTAAATATTTTAATACAGTTATAAGATGGATTTTTTTCACTTAAAGTTAATCTATGAATAGGATAATAAATATCTGTGGTCCTTGTATTGTATGTGGTGTTAGTGTTATGTATTAAAAATTCATTTTTGTTTTTATGCAAATATAAGAGGCACTCGTGTATGTATAGACCATAAACTGTTAAAATACCCAACTCCCTGAATTTGCCTCTACAGGAGTCTCTGAAGCTCATGTTAAGCAATAACCTGATAGTTCGCTTTTGGACTACAAAGACTGATTGTGTTGAAGAACTGACTCCCCAGAAAATGATACCGTACCTCATCCGAGACTCAAAATTTGCATAGTAAAGGATTTTTTTAACTTTGTCTTCTACATATCTGTTTAGTACTCTGAGTGCAAAACAAACACCGTTCAATTTTTTCACTAAACTTTCAATGTGTGTTGACCATTTTAGAAATTCATCAATTATAACACCTAAAAATTTAGTGTGCTCTGATATGTCAATTTCCTGATTATGGATACTTATTGCTGATGGTTTCTCTTTTAGTTTATTAGTGCGAAAAATCACAATGCTTGTCTTGCTCTCGTTTATAACTAGTTCATTTTTCTCAAACCAATCCTCTGCTCGAGAATATAGCTCATTGCTTTTTTCTTCCAAGTCATGCCGATCCACTCCGGCGACCAGCAGATTGGTGTCATCCGCATAATTTGTTATTGCAGACTCTTCCAATCCGCTGCACACCGAACTCAG